ACAAAGTTTCAAATGAATCCTACATGTTCGTTTTTCAGATGACTGAGCTATCCTTTTTAATGTCTTCATTGCAGCTCGAAGTAGTGCTGCTTCACCACTGTAAGCTGCATCCACCACTGCAATCTTGGTAATGTCTGCAAATAAACAAAACAAATGACTCCTGACCAAATATAGCATTTAGAAAAAAGACAGAACACTAATCTCCTTTGTGTAAGATGCCGATAAAATGACAAGACGTCCAAAGAAGTCAATCATCAAACTTATCAGTCATACAAAAACAAAGATTAACTAGGTTCGTTGGAGCTTTATGTTTATAAGACATCAAACTTATCATCAAACTTTATGTTTATAAGACATCCAGAGATGATATTGTTTCAGCTGCTCTGCTTCTTTCTGAATACTCTACAAAACAACGACGCTGACAGCATTTGTATATGGTAACATCCATAATCACGACCAACACGTAGCCTCTTCAAACCAAAAACATAGACCAAAGAAAAGAAAACAAACAACCGCATACCTTTCAGTGAAGTCTCTGCCGTCGTCATCCCCTTATCCAGAAAACCACCAGAATTCGATCGGCTCTGTTGAGTATAGTTAACGCCCAAAATGATTTAGGGCTTTGTTCAAGAGAATATGTTAAATATAGAGTTGAGATAGGAAGCGCATAAGTTTGCAGCCTATTTTTCTAACATATTACCTTCTCGCACCGCTACTTTTTGTTTCAAACCCGCCCTGTGGATGTGAAGGACCGTCAAGAGTACAAATTTCGTGCAGTGACTGACGGTGATTTCCGGAAAGCCTTTGATGATGTGATCGGCTAGATATCCACCATATTCATACTCGAGAGAGTTCCTCCCCATTTTTGGTTGTGATTTGCTCTCCAAAGCAGCAGAGTACAGAGGATCAATTTAGTATAGTCAATCTCTTTAATTTTCACGTGGTCACCAGACCTGATTAAGATGATATGATGGAATGCTCTTTATTTTTCCCCAACGTAGCCAGAAATAAAAACATAACATAGC